GCAAAGATGCTTCTTTAGCTTGTTGTCTTTCTGGACATGAAAGAAGAACATCAGAAAATCTATTTTCCCATACTGAATTTTAATCCAACAGGCATTTCAGTTCAGTGTTTTGTCACTATTTTTCTGTTTCCTCATCTGAAGGGAGAAGTACCTTGATTAACAGTGCAGAGTTCATTAACCGTCTTCCAGCTCACTGGGTTGCTGTAGTTACATATGATGGAGTCACCACTGCAGCTCAGTCTTAGAGTGTGATTATCAGAGGATGTTGAGGTCTTCTTGAGAACAGCTGCTACTAAGCTGATGGTAATGGTACTTCCATTACATGTAAAATTACAGGGTTCAGGACTGGACCAGTTTGAGTTTACAATCAGGACTGGAGCTTCCACTGCATCTGAAACACACATGCATTAAAACGTTTAAGGTCACATACACAGATTGAGTAAACTAAACATTAAGAATTAAAAATTACATTTAAGAGAGAATAAAACTGCCCTTCACTTTAGTGATTGTCACCAAAAGAAATCATTAATTAAATATTTATTATAGTAAAATGACAGGATTTTGTACCTTTGTTGTATGTAAGAAGAGCAAATGACAGGAGCAGCCTAAATGTCATCACAGCAAACAAAAACCTGCAAACAAACAATGATTCTGTGCATGTAACAATGAAGGAAGTTAAATATGTAAGTAATGTGACTTCAGCTTCATAAAAGCGGAAGAATCTCTGTATCGTTTCCACTTAGCTTTAGTGCCAGTTCAAAAGAATAATCATGACTGTGAGAGGCAACTTTAGTGTTCATTCAAACCTAAATATTTTCGCATTACACAAAGTTGGACCCCTGCACTCACTCTCAGAAATAAAGGTACAAAAGCTGTCATTGGGGCGGTACCCTTTCAAAAGGTACACTTTTGTACCCATTAGGTTCTAATATGTACACTTTAAGTACTAATATGTACCTTTAAAGTACCAAAATGGACCCTTTAGGTACAAATATGTACCTTTTGAAAAGGTACCACACCAGTGACAGCTGTTGTACCTTTATTTCTGAGAGTGTGGGAGGTCCCCATTAGGTGACAGTCTAACAGCTGCTGTGAAATGCCAGACATATCAGTGAGGTTGTATGATGCTATTTTGGGCATTGGTTTGCACTGTTGTCTAAAATATGGCTGCTTACAGAAATCTGACTTCCTGATTTCAGTTCCTCATGACTGGTCTCCCAAAAGTTGTTAAACCTCTTTTAGTTTGTACATTAAGTCATGA